AATGACCTAGTGCCCCTGCTTCTTTCTGGTTGTCTTCGGACGAACAAGTCATTGTATATACATCGTTTCCAAATCTCAATCACATCTTCTTTTCCTTACATAGCTTGGCCCGATATTGTTCTTGGTCTTTCCTTGTGGACAATGAGGGCTATTCCCAAGTATTCATGACTTGGCAGTCATTACCTCATCTTCCGAGGTGTATCCGCAAATTCACGCATTGTGCTTGTACCTTACCATGACTGTACACTTCAGCCATTATCTTTTCTTCTATTCTTTTCATTCATTTCGCCTTTCTTTTTCTTCATATATACCCCCCCCCACCGAATTGTCATACCCAAACCTTTTCACTACGATCCGACACTATTCCTTCATAAGTACTACTTATTACCTTTGTTTTTATATCGACTACTCTTGGGGTCTCTGCCGTCATCCAGAGACTTCACCACTACCACCATACATTATTAGGGGGCGAGATGGGATTTGAGGCGCAGAGGGAGAAGGGGGATTGGGCGTGAGGAAATGGAGAGTGTTGCTCAACCAGCACTTCTCGGAGTTGGTGATATCATGCAACATCGTATATCTCAACTCAATTCGCCATCAGCATCTCATGGTTACATCTTGATCGACACATTCACCCGCGTCATTAATAATATAGTATCATAGATGGCCTGATGTTGACCTAAGCAAGGAGCTCCAAACTGTACAGCGTGATACGGCCATAGTGGTCGGACGACTTTTCAAACTCGAGTTTGAGCTCTCTGATTCGGGGGACGGGTTTGGACGTCCTTACTGGGACGACACCTTCTGCTGTTGTCGCGACAGTAGGCGGGAAAGGAATTCTACACACAGAATCAGTAAACAAGGCCCAAAGGCAAAGGTAGAGAAGACATACTCAAAAATTTGTCTCCGATTCTTATCCTCTGGGAATATTCTACCTCCCAACTCCAACCCAAGTTCAACCTCCCCCTCTCTCTCCGAATCAATCTCTTCTCCCACCCAGACATTCACGCTGGTTCCCACAAATCCTCCCTGGAAAGTCAGAGCTACATGGCTGGCTTGCGGCGCTTCTCCCGCCGGGAAGACGAGGTGTACAAATGGTGCCGTGAGCGGGGAGGGGGTGGATGTAGATGCTGAGGGAGCAGAGAGAGACAATGGAAGGTTCTCGCCAGAAGAAGACTCGGGGGAAAGGAGATGTTTCTTGGTGGAGCCTGGGAGGGGTGCCGAGGTTCTACAAGTAAAGAACGTCAGGGGTGGAGAGGAGGACGGAGTGAGGGGAGCTTACATGAGCTTTGTGCCCTTTGGAAGGACGCTTTCCAACGCCATGACTGTCAATCTGGGATTTGTGCAAGATATATCAGAAATGGTCAGTGGCAAGAAGAATGCAGAGATGCTCAGAGATTGGGCAGAGATGACGAAAGACGGGATGGATGGACGAGAGACGGATGGCCGGCGGCGACCCCCGCTTTCTGGCCGCTCTTCTTCTTCGACATTTTCGACATCCTGCACTTGCCCATAAAAACAGCCCCCATCCCGTAAAATGGCGCGCACTTCCCTTCTCAGACCGCTCTCAGCACTCGCTGCCTCCCGCTCCGCCTTGGCCCCCTCCGTCACCCGCGCAGCGAGGTTCGTCAACACTGGACCTACACACGCTGCTAGCGAGGCTGGCATCGACTACCGTGTATTGGAGGGCATCGACGGCTTCCTGCCAAAGGAGAACTTTGACAGGATCACAGAATGGCAGGGTGGGCTTTGGGAGAGACTCCAGAGGGAGGTCAACAGTGCGTGTTTGCGGATCTTCGCGCCAGGACGATTTCAGACGAGATGCTTACTGGACACATAGACAACCCTGCACTCGCCGAGACAAAGCAAAAGTGGGACACCAAAGGTCTCGACATTGTCGACCTCCTCAGCGCTTCGGCAAGAGATAAGAACCTGGGCTTGACCTACAACTATGCCGCTCTTTTGGCCAACAACTCCTTCTTTTTGGACACTCTTGTAAGTGCAACCATTGTCGATGATCAAGTAGTTATCAAAAGCTGACAAAATCCAAGAACCCCGATGCCAAGAAGACTCCCGATGCCAAATTTGCTTCTTTGTTGGAAAAGCTCGAGGGCTACGCTGAAGGTATCGTCGGTGGTGGATGGTTATGGGTACGCCTCCTTTCATCTCACCTCTTCTCTATCGCAATGTCTCACGAATTGCGTCTAGATTGTCAAGACAGGCGACCGTGAAGAGGACCTCGACATCATCCCCACTTTTGCCTCCGGCACCCTTCTCATCCCCGGCCGCGCTCAATCTTCCCGCGCTGCCCAACTCTTCCAGCAACCCCTTCACTCCTCCGCCTCCCTCCCTGAATCTGCCTCTCCCGCTACCGACGTCGAAGTCACTCCCGAAGCCCCGCCAAGCAAAGCCGAACAAGACAAGCTTGCTAAGAAGAGCGTCGGCCCCTACCCTTCCCCTCTCGCCGTGGTCAACCTTTACGAGCTCGCGTGGCTTGGAGACAAGTATGGTGTGTGGGGGAAGAAGGAGTATGTGAGGGACTGGTTCGGAAGTCTGGACTGGGACAAGATAAGGCAGAGGCATGCGCAGGTAGTTTGAGGTGAAGGGCTGTAGAGCATGCAGATCAGTCGGGAAATGAGGTCGAACCAGAATGGACCCGTATGGCGCTCAACGATTCGAGTCCATGTCTAATCAGATATATACTAACAAAAAGCCACTACCAACTATTTAAAAAGGTCTGTCAAAACACAGCTCATTATATATAAGCTAAATCAAAATCAAAATAATGTCCAAACTCCACAACCGATATCCGATCAAAGTCCTTGGTCAATCATTCCCGTCGACTCATCCCCTTCAAGCTCAGTCTTCCTCACATCCTCATCAGGCCTTCGCCATACCAATGTGGCATCCCTTCACTATCGCCACAGCCATCTCCAGCTTGCGCTCGTCCACACTCGCAATACCCATCTGGCTCAAATAAACAGCGAGGCTGTCGGCCGGATCCTCCTTGCCACAGCCGCTCGAGACGGGAAGGGTAGCAGGCAAAGGGGGAGGGAAGTAGAGGGATGGCAAGGAAGGGACACAGCGAGGCGTGGGCGATCGGCGCCTGATCACGGGTGTAGAGCCGGCGGCGGAGACGCAGCTAGTTCGGAGATCGATGCAGCGGTTGCATGCCTTGGCGGGATCTCGTCGGATGCACTGCATCACAGATCAGCTTTGCCTATCGTAGGAGTATGGAAGGGGAGACTTACAGCTCCTTTGGCAGTGCTGCAAGCTTCGCTTACTGAACGTCCCAGAACGGCATGGCGGGCGGCAAGAAGAGGCGAGGGGGTGTAAGGGCTGGCACGCTTGTCGCCTTCGTCGGTGAGCTGACGCTTGCGCTTGGGGCTCCCGGGTGAGCTGCGGGTGGTAGGGGTGGTAGGGGTAGTGGGAGTAATGGGGGTAGTGGGAGTAGTAGAGCTGGAGGCCGGTTGCTCGTAAAAGGCGGAACGGAAAGCGGCTTCATAAGCTTCATCGCCCATAGCGCTGACAGACGCCATCAAATCGACCATACGGGTGGCAAGCTCGGTCTTGACGGCGGGGCACTGAGATTGAGCAGTGGTGCTCTGAGCTGGAAGATTCATGAGTCAAGGGGGTCGGTGGCAAAAGAGGAAGGAGAGCATACTTGTGAAAGCGGAGGAAGCGGAAGAAGTCGCCACCGGGGCAATGGGGGCTAAACCAGCAGCAGCAATGGGAGAAGCATTGGGCGACTGGCCGTTATCTAGAAAACAAGTTTGGATTGACGGGAAGTACAGTATAAGGAAGAGGAAAGGCATACGTACGGCTGGAAGCGACGTCGATGTCCGTCATGTAATCAGCAGCGGAAGCCCTCTTCGGCTTGTTGAAAGGCTTCTTGGGAGAAGCAGAGGGGCGGAGAGGCAAAGCACTGGTGGGAGCGGACATGATGGAATATGTTTGTTCTGGAGTTGGTAGAAGCAGACAAGGAAAAAAAAACAAGTATGGAAGAATGGGGTCATTAAAGGGCGGTGGGGTGGTAGTTTTTGTGAAAAAGCAACGCTGACTATGGTCTGGTGCTAGGGGTAATCAAAAGACGATGGAAAGATGAAGAGAGATGAATGGGAATGGAAGTTGCTCTTCTATAGCGCTCTGGAGGCGATGCAGTCATGGCCGATGTAGGTCGCAGAACGGAGAGGCGTCGCGTCCCGCTGTGCAGGGTGGAAAAAGCTTCAGATTTATTTCTCATCCAGTTCTGATCCAAAGTTCTTCATTGGAGCTCCCAAGTATATCCCTAGACCGTTGTTGGAGTATCTGTGAGTTCTGTCATTATACATGTATGCATCGAAAAAACAAGCCTCTTGAAAGATCATTCAACGCGATGTGCGAAAGGAAGACTGGCGGGGTGGAGGTAATGGTTCCTGGACGTGCCTAGCCTTCTCGAGCCAAATTTCCTTTTCGGGCAACCCCGCTTTTGGCTGACTCTATCCATCATCATGTGGCACTCTGCGTCTTTGTCTCTTCGCTGCTGCTGCATAGCAATGACTCGAGTCAAATGAATCAAACATACATTGACTCATCATCTTTGACTCTGATGCATGTCAAAGTATCGCTGTGACTTCGTGCTGGTTGATAGAGCCATGTCAGCGCGTTGTTGGAATCAGACGTAGGTCATGTTGATTGTACAGGGCGACGAAGAGTACCGGTCCTAGTAATTCCAACTCCTGCAAGTTGGCATGCAGGGACTGAGCTACCTTTGGCGGGGAAGACTGAGGTGGGAAACGGAGGGGACACTGGTGCAATGGCCATATTCAATCCTCGTCGAAAAAGCCCACATCGAACCGTGCGTCCTTTGCGGCATCCTCTTGGGCATTTCCTACTAGATGCACCGGCATAGTTAGCGGGTGAGTCAGTCTCTTCATGCCCTAATGCTTCAACTTGATTGAGGAATGATTCAATGCAGGACGTGGTATCATTCTGTGTTAAAATTTTAACTTTCATCACATGGGGATGTAGTTTAATGGAAAAATACTTCTTTCGCATCATCGTGAAAGTAGAAGTGCCCTGGGTTCGATTCCCAGCATCTCCAGAGTTTCTTTTGACTTTTTCTCTTGGGGGAATCATCTTTTTACTACTCTCAGGCTGATGCAAAGATTTGCGTCTCTTCTCTTCTCATATTGGAACTCATCTCGTGCATCCCATGTATACCCTTGACCGTCCTCTCCTGAGAGACCTGGTAGGCGGACCGCGGAAGGCTCATTCACCGGCGGCCGCCGCTATTGTGTTTGCGTTCGCGTTGAGGTCACGGACGCGTCAAATGTTGACTATTCTTTGATAAACATCGTCATTGGAGGGCTGCCTCTTACACACTCGACCAGCGATGCTCGCCGAAGTCCTTTTGGTCCTTGGAGGCCATCCATCCTCTTTCTTCGTCCCTCATCCACCACAGGCAGCAACGCCCGAGACCTACCAAGTCTCGTCCGCTCTCTGCGAGTATCTTCATCCGGGAGAGATCAGCTCCCTCAATTCGCTCGGATCGCTTGCCTTCCAGTACACCCAAGTCAAGAAATGGGCGGCTAGCACCCTCAAGGTCGGCAGGGAAGCTGTACTAGCAGAGAGCCTATACTCTTCGAGAAAAGGGAAACAACGGGCGCAGCCCGAAGACGATGCTCTGGCGGCGGCTCCCAATCAATACCTCTCGACTCTGGCTGCTAGCACACTCGAAGTCCTCAGCGAGTATGATCTGCTCATTGTCGAGACGGAGGCTCGCATACTGGCCGTCGACACCAGCTTGGTCCAAGATCAGCAGGGTTATGTGCCGTTGGCTAGTATTGTCGCGACTTTTGACAAGTGGATCGCGCCAATCGCTGCTCTAAAGCGCATGGTTGATCAACTATCATCAACAAGACACCAAAAGTGGACGCCTGGTGCGATCATTGATCTCGTCTACGAGAAGACGCAGACAGGTAATCCGTTCTTGGAAGCCATTTTCACATCCCTTTCCAATTCGCTTCGCCACGTCTTCCTTACCCACCTCGTCTCCTTCATCCTCTATGGTATCGCCCCCACAATCTCCTCCCCGACCTCTCCAGCTATAGCTCTCGACGTTGGGGCCGACCCGCTTTCACCGCAGCATAGAGTATTTGCTCTGAACGAAGAGTTACTCCCGTCTTCGATGCTGGGCAAAACGAAAGAGAGTATCTTGTATGTCGGTCGAGTGGCGGCCACGTTGAAGAGGGAGGGACGGTCGCTTCCCAAGCAAATGCTCGGTGGACTGAGAGAGATTATCATGTCGGTGAAACGACTAGAAGAGGGAGAAGGTTTGGGGGAAGCGATTGAGAAAGCGAGGGCTGAGGTGGGAGAGTGAGTACATTGGATGTGAATTGAGATCGTGCTGACCTTTATCAGATGGCTATGGAAGCACATCTTGACTGGACCTCAAGTGGCAGAATCAATAGAAATACTGTATGTCATCGATACCTCATACAAAGAAGCTGACTCGCCATAGTGGCAACTTTTTCCTCCTGCGCAAGGCGGACTGGGCCATCTCTACCATACGCGAAATTTCCCAGCTACGCCTCGACAAGCTCATTACCTCCAATCCCCATTCCTCCTCCTCCGTCATCCGCGAGCAAGATCTCGACTTGGCGCTGCGGCGCGCCAGTGTGGGAACGTCAGCGGACCACGATGCCGGGCTGGACAAGCTTAGGTACAAGATGGAAAAGGGGCCGCTGAGAACAATGTTGCCCACTATACCGCCTAAAATACCAAGAAAAGGGGTGGCAGATCGGTCAGGGGATGGGATGTCGGATGAGAGGAGCAATATACGCCAGTTATTCTCCTCTTCGCTGCTCGGCACGCCCCTTACTCTGACTACCACCATCACCTGGCCTCTCGACCTCTTCATGACCCCACTCGCCATCTCAACCTACTCTGACATCCAGTCATACCTTATCGCTATTCGTCACACTCACCTTTCTGTTCTCAACTGCTGGACTTCTCTCAGTGCCGCTCAGCGCCAGAGGAGGAAGTGGACGGGCGTGACAGAAGGTGGTACACCGGAAGAAGCCGACGCTCGGAAGCAGCTCGCCAGGACAGCGTGGGGAACCGTCCGGTTGATGCTCTTCTTCATTGACCAGCTTCAAAGTCATTTTATGACCGACATCATTGATGTACAGCATCGGAGGTTACTGGAACAACTCGAGCTAGACAACCTAGCGTCGTCGACTTTGGATGGCTCGTTGAGAGGGTCCATGAGGGGTTCGGTGAGAAGATCTGTGTCGCGATCGGCACCAACGCCTGTCAAGACTGGTACCATCTCGGCGGCTGAAGGCAGGCGTCCTGCGTCTCCTCATACAAAGACCCAGGGACTGCATGATAGCCAGACTACACATTCGAACCACGCACCACCAACACCCAGCAAAAGACAGGGACCATCTTATCTAGATTTCCTTACCCTCCGGTAAGCAAGTTGCCTGTCGATACGCCTCCGCTGACACTTGGCATAGACAAATACATACCCGTCACCTCGCCTTTCTCCGAGAAGCACTCTTTATATCCGACATTGGCATCGCTACCCTGACTCGCGACATCCTCGACACTTGCCGCCGTTTCACCGGTCTTGTTGAGCGATGGGGCGGAGACGTTCTGCCAGAGCTCTTGATGGAGGGAATAGAAGGGGAGGAGGTCGGAAAGATGGTACAGGAGAGAGCGCAGGCTGTAGAAGAGATAAATGAGGTGAGTCGAGCGGGATTCGCTAGGAAAGAGCTAATAAAAAGCTAGACCTTGCACGACCACCTGACAGACTTTTTCAATGCTCTCTTGGAGACCCAACTCCCTGGTGCTTCCGACCCCGACCGCTCTACCACTGGCGGTGGCGGATCTCTTTCCCGTACCATGAGGGTTGCCCAGATGTCACGCATGATGTCCCGCCAGACAAGTCTAACAGCTGCAGCCATGAACAATGTGAAAAAGGCCGCAAAGAGCAAAGTTCAGTTGGAGAAGGAGGAGAAAGGGCTGGAGGCGGAGGCTGCCATGGCGAGGCATGTCGAGCAACGTAGGTCTGGAACTTTTTGCGCCGTGGCCTCTGCTGATCAGATGTCAGTGTTGCTTCGACTCGACTTCAACGGGGTGTTGACCGCATGGAGGCTCAGGGAGGCTGATGGAGAGTATATGGGCAGCGTTCTAGCTGCAGGAGGGTTGTAGATACAATTTGATACATGAATCTACATTCTATCCTTTCAAAGGCACAGGGGCCTTGTCCCCGAAGCCTTCAATGAGCTGCGCCTGAATCAGCCATGTTGATCTGCGGTTGGAGATACACTTACAGAGTTTCCGGTAATGATTCCGGTAGTGGCGATGAGGAACCTCCTTCCTTTCGTCTGCTTGGCCATCCACCGCAAAGCCGCAATCTCCGTATAAGTACATCCACCCAGGAAGAATACCACAGTCGTCTTGGTGTCATCTTCGCTGGCTCCTAAGCGAGTATCAGCGCGGTGACTGCACATCCACGACAGGACTCACTGGGTACGTCTCTCGCCACATCTGTCTCCTGCTTCACATCGACCACCGCACCAGGCAATCCCCCGACCAGATCCTCAAACCCCTTCCACCCCGATATTCCGTGCGCCCTTGGCACGGCCCTTTTGCCATTCACTTCTTCTTCAGAAGGCCCGGATAGGATGACGTTTTTCTGTGTGATACATTGTGTGAGTCGGATGGATATAGGAGCGTAGCCCGAGTAGACGTATGAGACGTCATTGGGCGCGGCGTCGTTGATATCGTCGACAATCAGTCGTAGGGATTTTCGAAGGGCCGAGAATGTGTTTGGCGTCGTGGATGAGGCGCGGAGGAGGCCAAGAGATTGTAGGTTGACAAGTAAAGGTAGATGGTGGTACCCATAGACCTGCAAGAAATCCCTTTTGAATCCTTCCAGTACCTTTGGCTTGATACCGCCACTAGTCAGACTTGCAAGGATCACCAAGCGCAAGACGGTCTGCCAGGGGGCTTGCTGATACATGAGGTCTTCGATGACGGCGTATTGGGCCGAAGCATCGTAGCCTGCAACGAGGTTCTGCTGGACTTCAAGATTCTTGTTGAACTCTTCGGTTTTGGTAACGTTCATGAGCGTCTCTGCCAGCTCCGTATCTGACCCACGTCAGTTAGGCATGACCAAAACAGAAGGAGACTCACGCAACTTGAGGCTCTGCTGCTCGCTCTGAAATCCGCCCATCTTCCCCACAAAGCTCCTCATTTCCTGCACACTCTTCAAATTCTTTGCATTTCCCTTCTCGTCCTTCAGCTTCTTTGCCAATTTAGACAACCGCGAGCCGACGACGGCAAAGTTGCGGTCACGAATGTCGGAGAAGAGGGCATCTTTGTCAGAGGCGAGGTGGTGTTTGCGTTTCTTTGCCAGGGGCGTAGACGGGAGAGAAGATGAGGAGGGCTGGGAGGGGGCGGGGTGACTTTCCAGGAGGGAGGGGTCGACTTCGATATGGGCTGCACTGCATCAGCTCTTGTATACTCGCAATGCGAGTCGCTTACCATTCTTGATCCCCACAAACTCGTCAAGCATGCCCTCATAAGTCAGCTGCGTGCACATCGGCGTCACCCAGTCGACAGACCGGTCCGCGATGATCAAACTGTCAATCTTGGAAGAGGGTTCGATCTCGGTGTATTGAGGGGGACCGGAGGTGTGATGGCGTCGTAAGAGATTAGCAAGTTTCTATGGGTTTATGTGAGCTGAGGACTTTGCATAGGAGTTATGTGTACCTTGGCAGCATCGCCCTTGCCGATTATGCGAGGAAACAAGCCGAACGCTCGCTGGAACGTCATGAGAGCGAGCGAGGAGTGATATATCGGCGTGTCGTCTCCGTTCATATATATGTCCCGGGAGACGTCTTCCATCTCCAGCGATAGGAGGTCGTCTTCCATCGGAATGAGCCCAAGCTTGAACTGCACGATGTCAGGTATAGCCAAGCGAAGAAGGCAGCGCTTACCTCGGACAAGGTCACATCGCCGGCCACGCCTTGATCCTCTAGCACCTTTCTGCACAATTCTGTCACTCTCGGCACCAGCAAGATGGTATAT